ATGCTGAAAATTAGCAATAAAGGTACAAGTAAAGTCTCCCTACAGGTTAATAAGAACAGGGGAGAATATACTTATTTTGAGAAGTATCAAAACTTAACCCTTTACAAAAGGGTTGACATAACACTTCTCTCACCATGCTCCTCAATTTGATAAATAAGGACATGAAGAACTCATAATCTTTGAGTAGTTCACAAAAGTCTATTAAATCAAGAAACAACTGGTTTTAAACTAGTCTAAAAGTTTAGGATGTTCATGGCATTCTCACATGTACTTTTCTTCCAGCCAATATACAAGGATGAGGGTAGTTGAGAGGGACAAGGGCCTCTCCAGTTGGCTGCATTGTATCAACTGGAAATGAACATCAAATAGCCAACTGTATTCCTCGTGCTGCTTAAGAATGGACATAGTAGTAGACATGGTAGTATGAAATTCTCCCCAGATTTCATCCAAGAAGCACTTATTAAGTATATTTAATGCCATTATTATTTCTAATGTTTAAACCCAACATGGACCACAACATGTTTAAACCCAAAAGCCACTCAAAATCACCTTGAAATATGGTAAATGTATAAACAAACAAGAAACATGAAGAGGGAAGGGAATGAACCTGTTAAAAAGGAAGGAATTACTGAGAATAGGAGAAGTTACAGGAGAGGGAATGGAGAAAAGAGATTTATCTATGTATGTAGGCAGGAAGTTATGAATAATTGCAATGTGGATTTCTGCTGGTCTGTGGAAAGGAGCAGTTAATGCTTAATCTTTTTTTCTTTTCTCAATTTTTTCTTTCTTTTGATGTCTTCTTAATTTCTTACAACTGTTTTTCCCCCATGTTTTTCTTTCTTCCAATATTGCATGCATATACCTGGTAATCTGAACAACTAATTTGAAGACAACATTATGCAATACAACAAATATTGTCAAATTCACAAAACAAAATGAAAAAGGGGGATATGTTGGGAGCCATGAAGCTAGGAAATCGATCAAATATGTGTAGGTGGGACTTGGCCCCGTGCCTAAAGCAAACAAGCTA